CCCATAGCCATGGTAAATGTGCATATCATGTGGTTTGGAGGATTAAAGTAATTGTCTTGCAGAATTGGCTTTGTGGTTGTAATGATACCAGGGTTTCTGTCCTGGGACCCAGCTGCTTTAACCCTCCAGTGCCTCTCTTGTTCTTTCAAGCTAGAAGCTTAATTATCTTGTATTTAACCATTTATTATCATAGTGCCATAAGCAACACAAGCAGAGGGCCCTGTTGTATCAGGAGCTGAGCAAGCACAAGCGGTAAATGAGCCACTCACATCATTTAGGTGCCTCCTGCAGTGTCTGAATCAAGACTAAGAGCTTGTGGTGCCCACAGAATGAGCCATGGGGAGCAGCTAGGTCCTATTAGCTTCTTTTTAATGTTTTTCTCATAGGACGTTTCCTGGAGCCTTGTTTTCTAAATCCTCCCCTTGTCTTTTGGGCTTGCTCCCTTTATTAGCTCTTCGAATGTCCTGTAAAACAAATTATTTTAAAAGTTTCTGGTTGGAGTTGCTCCTTACCTTGCCTGCCCTGTTCCTAGTTTACTCTTTGGTTATTTTTTAACATATTGATGTGATGTAATTTAATGAGTCTTCCATAGATTTGTTTTAATTGTGAGATTAGTTATAAATTCTGTTTTATTGCCTATCCATATTCTTCTCTCTTCCCTGACTCGTTATGCAGTAGGTTGTCCCCTCGTACTGTTTCCACTAATATTTCTGGTAGAAGAACAGGCTTTCTGTCAGCATGAAGGAGTGCACAGCAGTGCAGCCCAAGACTGGAGTATCCTACTAAAAGAAGAGTGGTGACCTTAAGGACTGCAATAGTAGTAAAACTGATACTAAATGATGGTTTTCCAGTGGTTCCTTGATGGGTTACAGGCTTATGAATGTCCTAAATGATCCAGTGATGAGCGAATAGGTGTCTTGTAGCTCTGGCAGAGGCCTGCTTTTTTCCTGCTTTCCTGATGCACTAAACCAGAAGATGGTTAAATCAGCTCCTTATTTACAAGCCTAAATATTTTAATTAGGATCAGAAGCAGGCATGGGAATTTGTGGGCAATATGCAGCCCCTGATGTTAGCAGTCCCAAATCAGGCAAAACAGAGCCAGAGTGCGGGACCGGATGAAGCCTCCAATTAGGGAATCATTACACATAGGGAATGCTAACAAACTAAGGATCTCTGTTCTGTGGGGCTGCAGTAATCCCAACGGAGCTTATCGTACACATGGTTTCCTGAATTTCCTGGGGTTTGCATGTTAAAAATCATGAATGAAAATTCCTGCAAGGGTGGGCTATCTCGGGAAGGTTTGTAATCAATTCTGGGTCGTCTCTTCTGGCACAAACTCTGGTTTTCTCCCTTCCGCGGGGAGCTTGTATCTGTTTCCTGCATCTGTCGCCCATCCCTCTTTGTGAATGGAAAGCAAGTAATTAATTTTTGTTGTTGTTAGCGATTAATTAGCCTTGCCAAACTTTGGAGGACCTATTGTCTCCTTCAGACACAATGTTCTTGGGAAAAAGTCTCACTTATTGTAACCTGTTGTGCAATCTTCACTGGGATGATGAATACATCTTGGCAACGAGGCGCTTTCTGAATGAAAAATGTTGCTGGACAACCCTGGAGTGCAGCAGGAACGCCGGTCTCTGCCAGTGCTCGTGGAGGGCGGCCAGGCGGGAGGGTGAAGCGGGGAGAGCCTTCCCCGCTGCCGGCACAGCACCGAGCGAGGCCGGGTCTGCTCCACAGACCTCCACGTATCTGTTTATCATCAAACAAGGGTTTCTCCTGTTTGGCATCTGAGCCCAAAGGTGGCTTTCCTTCTAGAAAAGTCTTACTCTCTTGGAAAGCTTCCTTCTACCAGCGCAAGGCTGCGGAAATAACTGGGAGCATGTTGCCCACGCAGATCTCAGGGAAAAGCCTCTCTCCCCGTTTCCCTCTGTCACCCACAGACCTGGAGTCCTGCAGAGCTGCCTCTGTCCCCACATAGTTTTATTTTCTGGTCTCATTTATGGACATTTTTCCCGCCTCGTTCCTAAAACGTGCTGATCTTGGAGCTGCATACAAGCACAACAGCTCCATGCCCAGCGTAGCTGAGCGCGTTTGTCTTGGGGCAGTGTCTGCCCCATTGCTTCCACAGCCCCGCTGGGGTCTAGCAGATCCGTCCGTGACCGAGTCGGGTGGATGTCCCTCCTCGAGCCCGCGCTGCTGCCCCTCGCACAGGCTCCTCAGCGTGTGGGAGGTGACGGCCGCCGCAGCCCCTCCTCTGGCACCGAGCGTGCCCAGCGTAGGCCTCAGCCATGGGTCTCCTTGTCGCTGGCAGAAGAACCAGCGTTGTCCTCTTCACTGCGACCACAGAGTGGAGAGAGCTGTGGAGGGGGAAGATGGGGAAACAAGATGGAGAAGGACAAAGGCTCTCTGCTTGTGCATCACCCACCTCTGGGAGAAGGGAAGTCTCTTCACCTGTGTCTTGCTGCCTGCTCTCCATTCGCTGGGTGATCGTGGCAGGCTCCTGTGAACCCTCAGCCAAAAGAGGGGCCATTTGTGTCTCCTAAGAGCCCAAGGCAAAAGTTTTGGGAGCCGTGTCCAGGGGAATTGCAAGGGATCTCTGAGCCACAAATAGGTTGCTTAGTTTTTTCCAAGAATAATATAAGTGCTAAGAAAACAGGCTGTGTAACGGGGAAAGCTTCTGAAGCGTGGGAGCTGACCTCATGGAAGGTGAGCGCCTGGGATCTTATTTTCCTCTGTTTTTCTGACAGAGATGAGGGCAAGAAATGACAGTGATAGTGTCAGTATTGGCAGAAAGGGTTGTTTTTAGAGATTGTATCTCTGCACAGGTGATACAAACCAAACTTATTTCAGCCCCTTTAAGTCCCCAGAGAGCCAATGCAGCTGAGAAACCAAGAAGTGGATTGTGAGAGCTGTTTTCTTAGGAATCACTACGGTAGTTGCTTACCAAGCATATGTTCTCCTGTGATCCCACTGAAGACAAAACCAAAAAGAAAAGCCCATAATGTCCAAGCCACCTCAGAGACCTTTCAACCTTGCATATGGAGAGTATTTGATTTAGGAGACGTTAAGCCTTGTGATCTGAGGCTAGATTCCAGTTGGTTTAGTGGGCAGAGTGTGTTAGCAGCCCAGAGCCTTTGGATGATGAAAATGCTGAACGCTATGATGCGGATTTGCTAATACTTTAGAAATGCATTCAGAAGACATAAAAAAGAAAGGGAAAAACATTGTGGGAAATTCTTTCCTTCATGCCTAATAGTTTTTCGTTGATTTAAAATTGTCCTTACTGATGTGTTGGTGCCAGTGAAATATTTCAACTATAGGAAATGTGAAACCAACTCCTGTCTTTCTATGAATTATGAGTCATAAATTGTATGAAAAATATTCAAGCTTGCTATAGTTATTCCCCAAGCAGAACCTCTGAGTAATGGAGAAAATGCTGCCATTTTTGGGGGGAGTAGGAGGAGACTGATCTAAGCAAAGTAAAAATGCCAAGTGCCAGCATGTGGCTTTGTGCAGAGTATGAATTAGTGTCATCTACGATGATCCTCTCTTGCTAAGAAAAAAGTAAACCAGAAAGTTGAATGTACTTGCTTCAACTGAGCAAACTTACTCTTCGCCACAAATGATGTGGAAAAGGAGCGTTCATGTTGGGACTGCGTAAGTGCTTGTGCCAGGGTGCAGAACTGCTGAGTGCTTGTGCCAGCCCCGCCGTCACACCCCCAGCCTAGAAGGTGCAAACTGGGTATCTGAGGGGCATCTGATGCAGCCCTCAGTGGATGGGTTGTGATGACAGAATTCCCCTGAGATTGGCAATAAAGTGACCAGTTTTGCAGAGATCTGCAAGTGAGTCCTTGGTGGTGATGTTCATTTCATCCAGCTCTGCTTCTCTAAGAGATAGGAATTAAGTTCAAATGAGTCCTCTCTAATATTCTTCTGTTGTCACCAAAGCGTCAGTTCAATGTTTCATATACCTGTTTTATGAATTGCCTCTGGAAGTGATTGTGGAAGGGCTCTCAACAACTAGTTTATACTAGATATCTAACCTTCTGATGGCCAAAGTTCAGTGCATTAAACTGTGAATTAAACATTTTAGCTCTGTATTTTGGGTCCCCCATATCTTCAGGAAGAAAACATGCAGCCTTGTGAGCTTTTGCAAATTGTATTTTTCATCCTATGGTTAGAGTCATTGATGAAAGGTATTCGATGTATCTGGGCCTTAAGTAAGTATATAACACAAAGCCCAGGAGGGTGTGACTTCCTGACTGTGGAGCAGGGGATTCTATCAGTGGACATGATAGAGAAGTTTAACTAGACTTCATTTTTGCCAAGGTTTTAGTTCTTCAGTTGTGTTTGGTGCTCGTATTCATGTTTTAGTGATGGATGTGTGCCCAACAAAATACAGCCAAAAAGAATAGTAGTGTAAATAATAGTGTAAAATCCTGGATAATACACTAGTCGCTTTCCAAACAGATAGGGATTGATGTCCCAACCCCACCGAAAATAGCAGTTTTCGTCTCTGGGCTCTTGTAGAGCCAGGACTTGCTCCGTAGGAATCAGTCTGTGCCTCATTATCTTCTTGTGGCATCTGTGAAAGCTTAAAATTTTTACTGAATAGCAATATTCAGGTGCGACTAAGAGACATGTTGCTTGAATACCAAAAGCTAAATATTTCTTTCTTTCTTAAATCCAATTATATTGCCTTTTCCAGATCTGATTCAAAGTTTATTCTAAGGATTCTTAAAGTACAGGTTTCAATTTGATGTTTCTTTAATTGCCAGAGTTTGTGTGGGTTGTGTGTTTTGTTGTTTTTTTCCTTTTAATTTTTGTGTTGTGTAAGTCATACAAATGTTTTCAAAACATGAGCCCAATTGACTTTAGGCAGCTGTGATCTGCTGAAAATTGAAAAAATGTTTCCATAAATGTAAGAAAGCTTCTTTCCTTTACGCTTATGCAACAGTTGGGTTTTATCTTGCTATTAATCCACTTTTATTGGCTCTCTTTAGGAGATGGCTGTCCGAGCACTGAAGCAGACAGGTAGCAGAAGTATTGAGGCAGCTCTGGAGTATATCAGTAAAATGGGCTACTTGGATCCTAGAAATGAGCAGATAGTGCGTGTGATTAAGCAGACCTCACCAGGTAAGCACAAACTTTCTTCTATGTTGTATTCTTTCTTCTTGTAAAAAAATCTCAAGAATATGGTCATGAATTAAGTTTACTGAGTGCAAGTGATTTCCACACAGCAAATTTCTTATCTTGGTCACCTCAGCAGCATCTTCCTTCTTAGGTCCTGATCAAGCTGAAGATCTGCGTTGGAAAACATTGAATTTGGGAAAGTTGACAGAGAGGCACATCGATAAATGAATAAAGCTGGGGAAGAAAGTGCCCACTCGGTTTACTAATAAAAATCCCTGGAAAGGATTTTCTTCAGTACAGCCACTTTTTTTTTTTTTTTTTTTTTTTGTCATGGAAAGACCCAGGGGCAGCCACATACAAAGAAGGGGGAAAAGGAAAAGGACTTAATTTTCGAAGCAGTCATTCCCTAGAATGGAACTACAAAGCTGGTGGCAAATGGTGCCTGGTGGTTTGTAGGGAGCAGCTCCACTACCCTTTCCACCAGTCATGGGCTTTCTGGTTTATTATTTGAGGAAATTCTGGAAAAGCCTGAGGAGAGGATTTTCCTTGAGTTTTATCCTGCATAATGGCACCTGACAGAGGCCATTAAGCCAAAGCTCTTCAAGCTGAAGAGCTTCTGGGATGCTTAGTATGCAGACCCTGCATGTCATGTCATTGATGTTTGACTGTCTGAGATATCACAAAAACATACTGATGGGTTTTAATTTAGATTGCTTGTGCCAGGACAGCGTAGGTCTCCTGCAGGTGATTAGGAGCCTTGCAAGGCTCCCTGGAAACTTCTTCATATGCAGTTTAAAAACTTTTGCTTTTGAATTCTCTAGGCTGGTATATGAAAACTCACAGGAATGTTAGTGTACAGGCAAGACTCAGAGAAAACTTAGCAGATATTACTGTGAGACAGAGAATATAAAATAGAGAATGTAAAAATAGTTTATCCTGTGACTACCGTTGGTGAAATACATGCTGCTATAAAACCCTTCACAGGCTAGAGATACAGTCACAATATTTGTTGTGTTGGATAGAAATGTGTGAACAAAAAAATCATTTGCAACTAGCACATCTGGTATCTTTGCAGATCCAAAATATTTCTCAGTCAGACCAGAACAGACTGAGTGGTATACAAATCTAGGAGATGGAGGTCATGCTTCTCTCGGTATCATCAAAATTAGTTGCACAGCTGTAATATGTCACCCAGAGGAGGACAGTTATTGCTGTTCCTTTCATTCGTGACTTCTGGTAGGGGAAAACAAACCCGGAATGAATCCTGCTGACAGAGATGCTGCATGGATCATATAAGGGGCTGCCTTCCATTTCCAGGCCCGAGTAACAGTGTTTTAGGGTGCCTTGGATTGACACCACCTCATCAGCGCCTCTCACCATGCCTGGCCCATCAGGCCAGTTCTGTTACAGTCCGAACCGTGGTGAGCTGGGCCTTGTGTCGTCACAAGCAAAAGAGCTGCAGATTGCACCCTTCATTTCACAGAGCAGTGATTTGGTGACCTCTCAAGATCCAGTGATGACATTATTCCCTAGTGTGGGAGCAGCAGCTGCTTCAGCTGCTGCAGAGAGCTGTGCTAAGGACGTGCGTGTCCCTGCGTGCCTGCCCCAGCAGAGCTGGTGTGTGTGCAGGGGTGTCCTGCACGCTTTCCAAACCCTCCTGCACCTGGTCACACTGGGACCGCTTGGAAAAGCCTGTAGTCCGCCAGGCAAACCTGCCTTGTGCAGTATGGCTGTATTGCAGACCTTATGAAGTCAGGATTTTAAAATGAATTTGTCTAGGCATAAATAGGCCAGGTCCTGATGATCTGTGAAGCTAAAAAAACAAAGGACGTGGGACAAAAAAATGGGGACTGAGCAAGAGTCATCTATTGGCTGTATAGCAGAGCCAGAACTAAGCACCTGCTAGGTACACCTGGGATTTGTCCTCTGATCAAAGAACTCATCAGAAGAGCCCTGCGCACTTCCTGTGTGGGAATATTACCAGCTCAGCTCTGCACGTGCTTCGAGCCCACGTTAGCACATTGGCACTCTCAAAGATTTGCCTTGCAAAGAGCGGGGAGATGAGTAACAGGAGGGGACACTCAGTGCCCAGCACACGGGGAGGACAGCATAAGGTGCAGGATGCCTTTGCTGTAAATGAAGAAGAGAGATACAAGGATTTTTGAGAATGGTGGGACAGAGAGTTGTAAACAGATCTCCAGTGTGAGCAGTGAGATCACTGTGCAGAAGATAAAGAGGATGTGACTTCCTAGTAGCTTATAATGATTGTGACTTTAAATTGTAATGACAGTCCTTTAGGGAGATTTTTTCCCTCCCATTGGTGCAGTGTTTTAGCCCTGGCTCTGTAGCTTCCTCCAGTCTGTGCTTAATAACCACAAACTGGCCCAGCTTTTAAGCCCAGGCTATAGTATAAACTGATGATTTCACAATTAAGGAATTTGTGCTTCTATTTTCATTATGTGATAGAACTCCCTGATGAATCCTGGCATGGGACAGGACTGTAGGCCAGTAACTTGTTATCAGTAGTAATATAAGCACTCCTCACTTTAAATGTATCTCGAGTGCTTAAGTTAGGTTTTGCGGGTGTTTTTTTTTTTTGTAACTCACACTCCCTGTGCAGTGTGTGTGTGTGTAATGTGCAGACGGATGAGTAATGTAAAGTACTTGGTTCACCTGAATTGTTTCCTAACATTCTTCTGTGTTGCTTTTTTTTCATAAAGGAAAAGGTATTGTGCCAAATAATGTAACCCGCAGGCCAAGCTTTGAAGGATCAAATGAATCTTTTCCGTCCTACCATCAGCTGGGTAACACAGCCTACGAAGGGACAGGCTTTGGAGCAGAAGGTGCAAACATGCTCCCTGACGTTCCCAGGCCCTACATGGACTACTTAATCTCTGCGTCGCAGCCTGCGGCCATGGGCGCCCCCGTGCAGAGGGCACCCCAAGCCACCAGCAGAAACCGTACTCGGGCAGCATGGAGCCCTCCGTGATGAGTTACCCCGGGGCTAATCACAGCAGCCAAGCCCTGCAGCTGCCGGCCTCGCACGGCTCCAGCAGCCCCCACTACAGCAGGCAGCACATGATGGTGCAGGGGGAGCCCATGGGCTACGGTGTCCAGCGGAGCGCGTCCTTCCAGAACAAGATGCAGCAGGAGGGAGGATACCCTAATCTCCCAAATAAGGGGGCAGTTGTTCAGAATAACTCTGGTCATGCATTTCAGCAGGCACCAGCAAGCCTGTATTTGTCACATTCTCACCACAAACAGACAAGTCCTTCCTCTCATCAAATGCACGTGATGTCCAGAGGCCCGGCGTTTGCTAATGATTTTTCAGACAGTCCGCCACAGAACCTGTTGACTCCATCTAGAAATAGCCTCAATATGGACCTCTATGACATGAGTAATCCTCCAGTTCAGCAGTGGCAGGCAGCGACCCCGTCACGCCGGGATTCTCTACAAAACCCAGGAATAGAAACGTCTCCACGGCAACACGTGTCCTTCAGGGCAGATGCCACAGCGCCGAGCAGGACAAACTCCTTCAACAGCCACCAGCAGCAGCCACAGGTCACTGTGTCTATAAGACAGGTTCCTCCAGGCAAAGCCGACCCTGCGCTTCCATCCCCAAACACCATCACGGCAGTCACGTCCGCGCACATCCTCCAGCCGGTGAAGAGCATGCGAGTGATGAGACCCGAACCCCAGACTGCGGTAGGACCTTCCCATCCGGGCTGGCTGCCTGCCCAGGCACCGGCCATGGACGGCTTGGAGATCATGGAGCAGCACGTCCCACCCGTTGGAGCAGCCAATGCCTACCAGCTGGATGTGGATTACAGTAACCAGGAGCTGCGGTGTCCGCCACCACCGTATCCCAAACATCTCCTGCTCCCTGGTAGCTCTGAGCAGTTCGATATCAACTGCTTGTGCATGGGTGTAGAGCAGACCCTCCGCGTAGCCTCCAGCTCCACAGGCAGCAAAGCTGAGGAGAACAGTGAGCGGAGTGACAAGAGCAGCAAGAACCCGAAAGCTGACAAGCCAAGCAAGGATAAAAAGCAGATTCAGACGTCGCCGGTGCCTGTGCGGAAAAACGGCAAAGACGAGGAGAAGCGGGAATCCCGGATCAAGAGCTACTCGCCGTTTGCCTTCAAGTTCTACATGGAGCAACATGTGGAAAACGTCATAAAGACCTACCAGCAAAAAATTAACAGAAGATTGCAGCTGGAGCAAGAAATGGCTAAAGTAATTCTTGTTTTGTTATAATAGAAGCTGACGGGGTCAAGTTGATTATTACCATTTTGAATCACCCCCAAAGGTTCTAAGGAAGGCTCCCCTGGAACTAGTAGGTGCTCAGCACCTCCCTTTTTGAGGCTGTTTTCAATTAGAAACCTGGATACAGATTTTGGAGGCTGTTTGGAGAGTCTAAGAAATGGAGTTACATATCTTCATACCAAAAAAGTTAAATAAAGCAAAAAGCCCCATAGTAGGAAACTATTGGATTTGCTTAGGCAAGAACTCGGAAGCCAAGTTTGAGGCCAAACTGACCTCGCTGGCAACACTTCTGCAGCTCTTGCAAAACTCTGAAATAGGTTTTCTTTTTCTTTCTGGTTCTTTCTGTCAGTTCCACAATAGAAGCCCCCTCACAAAACACTGGTTTAATTTGACACCAGAATCATTGTGCCATCTGTCTAGTTGAAAGTGGAAGGATGGATTTAGATGAACCTATCTTGGCCAGCTTAAAATCATCTTGGAACCCTTGTTGGAACTTGGCCTAGAAGTTGGGCTTGGTGAGATGCTCTTTGAGAGCTTCTTTCCTATCTAGTCATAGCTCTCCAGCCTAAGCTGATGCATTGATAGGGCTGCTTTAAAGCAAAGCTGCCAAGTTCTGATGATTGCTGTGGTAGTTTCGTTTTTAATGTGAATTTCCCCCCCTACTCCCAAATTTCACTACAACAGGACTGCTCTTCTGTTGCATTAAAGGATAAACTCTAGGGGAAGCTCTTACTAATGCATAATGGGTAATAATTGAATATCAAATCTTCCCTAGCACAGGCAATTTTCAGAAGCAATTAATGGTCACCTTGCTGTGGGATACTCACTGGTTTGTTTGTTGAGGTTAAAATTAAACAAATATGCTTCTAAAATCTGTTGAAAAGACAGCAATTTAGTTACAGTTAATGGTTTATCCTCATGGCACGTACAGAGTATGTTGCACTGCTTGCATTTAGTGAATGTTTTCTTGAGTTGGAGATAGGGAATGATCTCCAGAGAGTAAATCAGCTACTAATTGCATTAGTTCTTCTCTTTCCTGACTCCTGGCTTTCCTTCACTTCATAACTCAGGGACAATTCCAGTGTAAACAAAAACAATCCTTCCCTTAGCAACCTTGGCACTAACCAGAGTAACGCGCTACGAACTCAGGAGATTTGGGCTATCGGAATATCCCGTTATTCTAGAATTACTCAAGAAAACAGCACTGATTATTTTATCTTAAAATAATAAATGCTTCCTCTGTTATTGATTGATGCACTCTCCTTACATTTTAAAAAATGAGACTCGTTTTGATTTGGCTTTTGCCTTCAGTCTGCAAATACATCCTACCTGTTCTGCAAGTTTTCTCAGACCTCCTTCTGATTATCCTTCAAATAATCCTTCTTTATTCATCCAGAATTTATTTTTATACTAGGGGGGATCTCACCACGTTCTGTGACTGCCCCCACATTCATTTTTAAAGGCCTAGGCTCTAGATATGAAATTAAAAAGATCAATCAAAGGAGCAGCCCCATGGGCACGTGCTTGAGCCTCGGCCTGCCCAGCAGTCAGCGTTGGTGCCTCCACACTCCTTCCCTGGCCTCTTCCCACCGCGCGGGCATCGTCCTCTCCGAGCGCTTCGCTTGGTGTCGGCCAGCTCAGGCTCCTGCAAACGGCGCTCGGGAGGACGGGGCCAACTGTGACAGCGGGTCTGTCCTCTGGCAGAGTCCTCAGAGGGTCCTGCTGCCAGGGGCTACTGGGAGAGCAGATGGCCAGAGCCTCCTGAAGGAGGAAGAGCCCAGGGGACGCTTGGTTTTAGGCTTTGGGGGGACAAATCGGCTCTGTCAGAGGTTGGATGCAGAAGGGAGGTAGGGGCACTTGGAGGGGACATGTATCTGGACTGCAGACCAAGGCTGGTCAGGAGATGTAGGAGGCTTTAGAGGGGAGGCTGTGACAGAGGAGGAAAACTGGCTTCTAAAGAGCGTTCCCAAGGCACTTATGAATGTGCAGTGCAAAACCAGCTCTTTAACTGCCACAAAAGCCAACAGGCAGCAAAACACATTGGCGCGAGTTGCCCTGCAGAAGCATCAAGTGATCTTGATGCATCTAGGTTTAAGTTAGTTGAAATTGAGCCGTGCTACAAAGTGCATGTAGGATGGATTGCAATCCAGTGGCCAAGTGCACTTTTGAGAGGTGCAATCAAATCCCTTGGTCAGTTCTGTTGTAGTGATCCTGCCCCTTGACCCATCTCATGTAGAACACATTCAGTAATAAAGCTGTTTCTGCAGGTGTCTCAGAAATATCCGTACAGACAGAAGGAAGAATATTTCTCCTATGAATGTATCTTTTCTGTTTTTTGGCAATTTTTTCATAATAACGTGCTTTGGAAATGCTAGTTAATTGTTCTTATGCAATGAACGTAACAGTACTAGCTCTTGTGGTTTGTTTTTACCTTATAAAGGCTGGCCTTTGTGAAGCAGAACAGGAACAAATGAGGAAAATTCTCTACCAGAAGGAGTCCAACTACAACAGACTTAAAAGGGCCAAAATGGACAAGTCTATGTTTGTCAAAATCAAGACGCTCGGCATCGGCGCATTCGGAGAAGTGTGCCTGGCCTGCAAGGTGGATACCCATGCCCTGTATGCCATGAAGACCCTGCGGAAGAAGGACGTCCTGAACCGCAACCAGGTGGCCCACGTCAAAGCAGAAAGGGATATCCTGGCCGAGGCAGACAACGAGTGGGTGGTTAAGCTCTACTATTCCTTCCAGGATAAGGAGAACTTGTACTTTGTGATGGACTACATCCCCGGTGGGGACATGATGAGCCTGCTCATTCGGATGGAGGTCTTCCCGGAGCGCCTGGCTAGGTTCTATATCGCTGAGCTCACACTGGCTATCGAGAGTGTGCACAAAATGGGATTTATTCACAGAGACATCAAGCCTGACAACATCCTCATCGACCTAGATGGACACATCAAACTGACCGACTTCGGGCTGTGTACTGGGTTCAGGTGGACTCACAATTCAAAATACTATCAGAAAGGTAGTGTTTGGGGACTTGCTTTGGCATGGTGTTGAGTAGATGGCGTTGAAACAAAGGGGTGTCTATTGGGAGAAATGGCTTCTGGTTGTGCTTATTGCTTAAATCCTCTCCAGACATCCAGCTGACTGATGCAGGAGCAGCAACTTTTCAGCTCATACTTGTTTGGAGGGGCTCTGTGATGGTGAAATAACTTAGTTACAGGTTTAAAGTAATCCTGGCAGTGCCTGTGTGTGCCATGGAGGGGTATTGGAGTGTGCTGGCAAAAACACCATGAATAATTGATGTAACTGATGGAAACGTTTGCTCTTGCTCTGTATCTCCCTCATGGGAACGTGCTTCGCTGTGCCGAGACAGAGACATCTTGCTGCTTATGGAAAATCAATGTGAGGGGGAGGGAAAAAGTAAATGCCTTAGGTTTGAAGTTTAAATGTTGCTTTGTGAAAGTAGAAGATGACAGAACTAGATCTAAATGTTTGTCTTGGTTTGGTGTGCTTGATAACCATGACTGTAAACTTTCTTTGCCTTTTGAAAGGGAGCCATATCAGACAGGACAGCATGGAGCCCAGCGATCTTTGGGATGATGTGTCCAACTGTAGATGTGGAGATAGGCTCAAGACATTGGAACAAAGAGCTAAGAAGCAGCATCAGAGATGCCTGGCCCACTCATTAGTTGGAACTCCTAATTATATTGCTCCTGAAGTCCTGCTTCGTAAAGGTAGACGACCTGTGTTTTTCTCTTGTGTAAATGAACAGTGACACTTTGAAATAACTTTTATTATTATTATTATTTTCCCCTTAAAGAAGCTCACTGCTTTGTAAACTTGTCATTCTGCACTCTACAAACAACTCAGATTAAGGAGCAAATTTCTCTATGTGGTATTTCTCAAAACTTAAAGCACATAATCTTTGCTCCTGAAATATGACTCTGGCCACTAGTGATTTTACAAAGACTAGTGCATAGCCAGCTTATGATTCTGAATCAGTGATTCAGACAAGCCACCCAAATGTGGATGATGTCAACTTGTGGAAATGTTTCTTCCAGATTCCCAGCTAGACTCTGGGTGTAAGCCAAAAGAGAGTCTTCCACAATTTACAGTGAGAAGCTGTAAATCTGTGCTCAGAAACTCAACTTGAGGAAGTACCAGGCAGTAACCGGGTGGCTGTGTCTGCAGAACAGACACGACCACTGAATCTTGTAGTGAGGAGATCAGACGTTCAGAGTTATTCAGCAGCCTTGTCCTAAGACCTCTGGATTCCTCCTGAGTTCAGGAGATTTCAAATTATTCCCAAATCATCTGATGACACAAATCTCCATTTAGATCAGCATTTAAATCTTCCAGTATTTGTGTAGATCTCAAACACAGCCTTATTTGTCTTGTCTCAGCAATTAAGTGGTTGAAGATGTTTCTCTGTATGGAACTTGCTCAGAAAGCCTGCCTTGCTTTTCTTCCATCCCTAAAGCCCAGCCGTGTCTTTGAGCAGTGTTTCAAACCCTTGATGCCACCTCCTCCAATCCAGAGGGTACCTCAGGCAGTCAGTCTTTTTGCTGTTCTTGGAGGGGCAGGTTGTGCTGTGTAGCAAAGTAGCTGTGAAACATTGTGAGGAATCTTTTCTCTTTCAATTACATGATTTCCTTGCTCACTTTTGTTGTGAATTAAATATATTCAGAGGGATTCCTGGACACTGGAACTAGATTTTCACTGAGAGCAGTAGAATTTAGGTAAGTGAGCAGAAGGCACTTTTTGATGAAGTCCTTTTTTTAGGTCACAAATTGTTTGAGAAAAGACAGAAACCTGTGCCCTGCGTTTTGATATTTAATTGTGAGAAGAAACCACAGCTTTATATGTGCTCTCCTGGGTTAGTGAGTGACAGCCTTTTCTCCTGCCTTTAAGGATACACTCAGCTTTGTGACTGGTGGAGCGTTGGCGTGATCCTCTTTGAGATGCTAGTGGGGCAGCCTCCTTTCCTGGCTCCTACACCCACAGAAACCCAACTGAAGGTAAGTTGAAGCAAAATTCCAGTCTCCTATAGGGAAGTGCTAACCTTCTCCCTTCCCCTGCGTACAGGAACCAACCCCATCTGTTTTACTAGAATAAGATGCAGTGGTCACAAAGGCCTGATTTTTCCTGGTTCTGTTCAGGACAAATCTTTTCCTATTCAGCGAAGTCAGAGCAGACGTGCCAGGCAGCTGATACAGAGGTGTCTTAGCTTTGGGAGTCTTAGCCCAGCGCTGGTTTCTCAAGCACAAGTTCAGGTCTCCAACCTGTTTAGGGTGTCCATCAGATTTAAATAACCTTCTAGGTCAGCAATAATCTCAGTTGGCAGTGTGAGTGTTTCAAAGTTGAGCAGTACCTTTTTTATTAAAAAGAATGTGTCTCATGTCCACTTTCAATAGTCTACATTTTCAAGACAAAATAAAGTAGTTTCAGTAATTTTTAAACTGAATGGGTTCTCAAATCTGACCAAGGTACTGATCAAGAAGGAATTCACACTTTTTAAAATGGATTTGCTGCTTTTATCACCTACCCATCAGTGTTTCTTGATTCACTAAGGATGGCTAATACCATCTACTCACTGGATTCTTGAACATCTAAAATAAATATCCAGACTGTGACTTGATTAGTTGTGCATATACTGCAGTGTTCGTGTTGACAATCAGAAAAACTCTGTTGGGGGATTTGGAAGTTGCTAAATGTCTTTCTCATTCCCAGGTGATAAATTGGGAAAGCACCTTGCACATTCCCTCGCAGATCAAGCTCAGCTCCGAGGCAACTGATCTCATCACAAAACTCTGCTGTGCTGCCGAGGACAGGCTTGGAAGGAATGGCGCGGATGATATCAAGGCTCATTCTTTCTTTCACTCTATGGACTTCTCTACAGATATCCGTAGGCAGCCAGCTCCCTATGTTCCAAAGATCAGCCATCCGATGGACACTTCCAACTTTGATCCGGTTGAAGAGGAGAGCCCTTGGAGTGACGCTAGTGGTGATAGCACCAGGACGTGCGACCCGCTGGCCTCTTCCAGCAGCAAACACACGGAACACGCCTTCTACGAGTTCACTTTCCGCAGGTTCTTCGATGACAACGGGTACCCGTTCAGGTACCCCAAACCTTCCGGCGTGGAAGGCGGCCAGCCCGAGAAAGCCGAGGTGGAGAACAAAGATCTGGTGGAGCAGACTGGAGCTTGTCAGCCTGTATATGTGTAAATTATTGTATAGAGTACTCCCGATAAACCTAATCTCAAATCCAGAAGGGCCTTTAACTGATCCTTTAGGGTCTGATCCGGCAACCCTTGTTCAGGGGTTGACATTTTAATGAAGTCATCCTGGGGAGGTAAAATTTTGCAGGGTCAGGTGCTAAAATTGGCACTCTTGAAAGTTCAGGTCAGTTTTACTGTAAATAATTGTTGATACCTACACTTGAAGTCCTTCCTGGTCTTCGCCAAAATCTGCAAGACCAGCAGTCTGTCACGTCTAGGCCTGTCTCTGTTTGAGGTCAGCTTTCCCCTACTCTGATTCATATTTACAGACTTCTGCAGCGGTCAGCATTATTTTTTAAATGAATAAAGAGCACTTATATTTTGTTTATAGCAGGGTTTTTTTTTCCTACTAAATTATAGCGATTAACTTTGACAAATCATGCTGCTGTTCTTCTTTTCTACATTTTTATTTTATCCATAGCACTTATTTCACATTTAGGAATATGCATAAAGCTGAAGAACATGTGATGAAAGGTCTCTGTGCAATAATGTAAGAAAGAAAAAAAGAAGAAAAAAAAGAAAACTCTGCTCTCTAATTTTCTAAATTTACTGATGCCATTGTATTCGCACCGTGGTTTTGTTTTTGTTGTTATTATGTGTATTTTCCACATTTCAAAATTGTGACATACCCTTAAAGCTGCTTTATTTCCTTCTGCTTATTGGAGTGTAATAGCAAGTGTGAGCAAATGACAATTTGGGTGTGATATTTCATTGTCTAGCGTGTGAAGAATGTTGCATGAGCAGTGGTTTTCTATTTGAAATGGCCTTTTCTTGCCATTCACGGGCAGGTCCTGTGGATCCATTTTTACTAAGGGTCTAAAGTTAGACCGTTTTAAACAGTGTGTTGATAATGTATTGTGTGGATGGTTTCTTCCTACGATTGTACCCAATATTAATTTTGTAAAACAGGTTGCAAAGGTTGTATCCAATACTAATTTTGTAAAACAGGTTGCAAGGGTTGTATCCAATGTTGGTTTTGTAGAACAGGTTGCAAGGGTCTCACCTGCGTGGTCCGATGCCGCGGACGGCTCCCTTGGGGCTGCAGCCCGGACCTGGCTCCTCGTGCCCATCACGTGCAGCACAGCGGGGCTTGCTCCATGGATCAGCAGTGCAGAGCAGCTCTGCTAACCCACGCGGCAGCTCCGCAGCCCCAAAGCTGAGTGCCCGGAACAGCCCGTGGCACACGGAGATCAGGGAGGTGAGTCTGGTCTTACAAACCATGTGGGTGCGCGCAGCTCCGCTGGCTTCTGTGCCACCAGGAGACACTTGGCCTCTCCAAACGTCACATCCCTATAGGTGACGGCCTCGGTGCCGTTAGGATCCCAGTGCTATAGGCACTGACATCAGAAAATGTTGGCATGGCTCAAAAGTTGCTCTGTCCTGTTGCCTCTCTTGATTAGAATGTTGCTGTGATGGAGCACGACAGTCCTTTGTTTCTGTCCAATTATAGACATACTCTGAAATATCAATTCTTAACTATGTTGAAATATGCATTTTTCTTATATGTATAAGTGAAAATTATTCAAGGTGTTATCAGAATACTAAAGATAATTAAGCCATACATATTTGCATATATATTATATATAACTAAATAAGTAAACACACACAAAAATCCTTAATTCAGATTAGTGTAGCCGTCCTATTTAAAGTGATTGACATTATAACATTTGAGGAAAACACTCCTTTAATGTGTTTTTGCTTTATTTTATTTTTAAATCTGGAGCTTCATTATTTTTTCCATATATTATTCCACGTATTATTCCTTAATGTTTTAGCATATCCTATCCTATCCATTGTTTAGATATCTAAGCAACAACATATAAATTCATCAGCCTAACCTAAACAAAAATGATTGTGTATTTTGTTTACATTTGTATGAAAGGAATGTCCTGGGGTATGCAGTGCTTGTGTTGTGACAGTTCATGTAAGATTCAGTATTACTGCTTTTTTATATATAGTAATACCATTTTTGTTATTTACATCTATCTGACATTCTTTCATGTGGTAGGTTCTTTCTCAGGAACTCAGTTTAACTGTTATTTATTGATATATCATTGCCTTTGAAAGCTTCTACTGGCACAATTTATTAAAAATCTGAATCAAAATCTAAAATATTGTGTGTTCTTGAAAAGTGTAACCCCCGCCATGGGTACAGGTTGAAACAGAGGAAGTTCCATCTCCATGTGAGGAAGAACTTCTTTCCTGTGAGGGTGCCAGAGCCCTGGAACAGGCTGCCCAGAGAGGTTGTGGAGTCTCCTTCTCTGGAGATCTTCCAAACCCGCCTGGACGCCACCCTGTGCCACGTGCTCTAGGTGTCCCTGCTGGAGCAGGGGGTTGGACTAGATGATCTCCAGTGGTCCCTTCCAACCTCAACCCTCCTGTGATTCTGTGGTTCTGCCTCTCCTGGGGATTGGTTGTGGTGTTACGGGTTGGTTTGAGGCGCATGAGGCCCAAACCTTCTCTTTCCCATCATTTGGGGCGGGGACTGGGCGTGTTTAGACAATTTTTTTCTCTGCGCTCGTGGGCCCTGAGAATAAGGGAAGGGATTCCCAGTCCACCTGTGGCATAAAACCCAACACGGTCTCTTTTCTCAGTCTGCCAAGGGGGGTCACAGACAGATGGACACCCCAGGCTGTTTGCTCAGATGCGTTTTTGAAACCCAAGCAGTTCCCTGCAGCTGCTGGGGGTTGGAGTGTTGGGCAAAGACAAGAAGCTGGCGCAGAACAGAAGTTTCACGTTGCTCGTTTAAAATGTGCTGTGGGGGGCAAGGTTCAACTCCCATTTCACATAAAGAACTGCGTCGAAAAAACATTTATTTTGTCAGCTAATATGGCGCTGCCTATAGAAGGCTCCCATCCCCAGGAAGAAACAGAAACTGGGAGGAAATTTTAGGGAGCTTGGCCAGGGAGCCAAGGTGCCATGTGTTGGGACTGGCTCTAAGTATCCTCAGCTCTCCTGAATTTCAAAAAAAAAAAAAAAAAAAAAAACCAGTAAGTTGTAGCAATTCGATGTTCATTAAGAGCTTTTAAAGAAGGAGCTCGACATGCAGCTATTCCCGATCCCAAGCAGGGAGTCTGTTCTCAAGCGTTGCTAGTTGTGGCAAAAGGTAACGTTTCAGCTGCTGTTCAAGCTGCGCAAAGTCAACGGCGAAACCCGCTGGCTTCAGGGAGACGTGGATTTCACTCCTGGGTTTCAGCAGAGACCCGTGCGCAGTAACAGGGTTTCCTGCATGCAAGCAGCTCTCAGAAGGCTGGAGTGAGTGAACTTTTTCAGCACTGTAGCTTCATAAAGCGGCATTGACGGTGTCATAACCAGAAAGGGCTTTTGCAACCTTTTTAATCTATTCTCTTCAACGTCGCCAAATTTGCCAAGGAGTAGCAACAATTCTTGATAGGCAATTTTTATTCCTAATTCAGTGCAGAAGAACAACCAGCAGAAGTTATAAACAGGTACCTAGCTTGAATAACATGAAAGCTAAATGAGGGAGAAAAGCATTTGACTTTTAAATGGAAATGGAAGAATGAAATTAACTGCAGGAAGCAAGGCTCTAGCCCGTAACTTGGTGGAAAATCAGCCTCATAAACTTAAGAGGTTTCTGCTCGCTTCCCTGTAGCTAATGAGGTATGAAATAACTGCCTTAAAGCCTCCTGGAGGAACTGCAATGGAAAGGGGGATTTAGAACATGTAATTGGGTCCTGTCCCAAAATACAGGAACATTGGCAGAAAACAGCAAGTGTTACTAAAAATATTACTGGAATTAAAAGTATTAAATCTTTCCCACAGGAAATAACCTCAAGAACAGATAATGTAGGAATAGCAACATTAAAACACGCACGCACAAAAAAAGTGTAAAAATGTTTTTCCTGGCAAAGGGATGTGCGGCAGCAGGAACACGGAAGCTGCGCCGTGCGCTGGCCGCGGCTCTGAGCACTCTCACGAGCAGCGACTGCGCTGCGCCGAAACCGCGTCCTGGGCTCGTTCTTACCAAGACGAACCAAGGCTCTGACCCGCAGAGCTGCAGTTGCCTTTCTGCAATGCGATGTGGCTCAGGGCGCAGCGGAGCCCGACGGAGCCTGGCGACACGCACGGTGGGAACCCAAGTGCACTGAGCGATCCATGGACGCAGACACCCTCGCGGTGGGCAAGGGCCCTTCTCTCCCTGCTGCAAGGCGAGGAACAGCCGCACCTGCATCCTGCAGCTCCAGAGCAGCGAAGGGAAGGAGCCCTCGTGAACCCGGCCAGTCCCGGTCCAGAGGTCACCGTGGACCCTCGGCCAGTGCCGCGGGGACCCTCCTCCTCCCCATGAGTCCTGCTCCTGCCACACGCAGCCTCTCAGCTGCCCTTCCAGCCTCACTGAGGGCTTTGCCCCCAAGAGCTCCGTATCAGAGGAGTTATTTAAATCAAAGGCAGAATGTCCCAAAAAAAGAAGAAGCCTTTCCGTTCCCAGGGATCCATCCGGTGGGGACAGCGCCTTGTCCTCGGGGAGCTCCGTTTGTGTTTGCACACCAAGACGCCAGGGCAGAAAGAGAGCAGCGGATTCAAACTGGTGCTCGTTTTCCCCAAAGAGAGCGCTTTGCATAGGAAAATGTTGGCTTGGCAAAATGGAAATATTTCTGGGGGAACTTACTGGTTTATATATAATTATCTTGCAAAAAAGCAAAAGAGATTAAAAATAGAAAAAGAGATAAAAATACTTGTTTCAAGAAAATTAAAGAAAAAAAAAGAGTAATATAAAGGCCAAGGCTTATGTATTTATTCATGTCACATTATATTCAAAATGCTAAAAATTAGGATGAACTGCTGTGAATAGGTCACTTTTATGTTTCTGAAGCAGATTTTGGAAATACAATTTCTTGGTAATTTCCAACTGTTTGTTCCAATTTAGGCCTGAGGAATTTTTCTGGAACGTTTAATTTCCCACATAATAGGACTTTCCTATTTAAACGAGCTCTAAAAATAACAGAAGAGGTCGAGCAAATCTGAGCAGTATCTGGAGGAAAAGCGACCTCCTCGTGCGGCCGCCGCTCCCCCGCGGT